CAGGATCTGGGCCAGAGCCAAAAGGACATTCCTTCGAGCCGGAGTTGAACCAGCGACCTAAGGATGGCCGTGTGAGGGAGCCTACAGTCCTCCGCTCTACCAGCTGAGCTATCGAAGGAAGCACAGGGCCATGCCCACTACCTCACCCATCACTCATCCAGCACTTGGTGGATGAGCACAGCCATGGTGCAGCATCATGCCCCTATTACAACATCCTGCTTCAAACAGACTCAACTCCAACATCACAACACTTTGCTCAATCCCTTTAGCCCATCCTATCATGCAAGCCACAAACAGAACCACTCCCTGGTTCCTTGGACATCAGCAATACCTGGACTCTCCTCACTACCATCCAGCGCTTACCCATATCCTTCTGCAACTTCCCTTCATTCCCTTTCACTGTGCTGTCTTCTGCCCTCTGGTCAAGCATCAGACTAAACAAAATTGTTCCATAACCTACACCTAAGCAATAGAAGGTCATGTGCAAGTCCTCTGAATCTCTCTTTCTCCAAGCTGAATATGCTCACTCTCCTCAGCCCATCCATAAAGAGAAATCTCCATTCCTTGGGATCCTTGGTGGCCCTCCACTGAGGTTGCTCCATTTCATGGATTTGTTTTCTGTACTGGGCTTGATAGTTGAGAACTGTCAAGCAAAGACAGAGAAAATCAGTTCCTCTGTCAAACTGCCCGTAGTGCTTTTGATACAGCCCCACATGTTCTTGTCTTTTGTAAATCTGGGCACACCACAAATCTCCCCACAGTCCCCAGTGGATAGAGGGATCCCCACCAAAGGACCCTGTGTCCAGGCAATGGGAATGAAAAGCACTGGAGAATGCGGGCATCGATCCCGCTGCCTCTCGCATGCTAAGCGAGCGCTCTACCACTTGAGCTAATTCCCCACCCTGCAGCTCTGCCTGAGAGCCTCACCCCTCAGAGACACCCACCACTGATTCAGGAGGCCCTGCACGCATATTGGCATTGCTCTCAGACCACCACCAGCTCATCCACTCACTTTTCTTACAACCTTAATGATCAGAAGCACCATCCCCATCCTACACTTCACCCCAAAACTTCCTTGGTTGGTCATCTTCCTAAACTCAGGCAAGAGCTCACAGCTGGGTAGCCTTTGAAGGGAATTCACCTGGAAAGGGCCAAAAAGGCAGCGGCACAGCAGGATCTGGGCCAAAGGGACCCTCCAAAAGGACACTCCTTAGAGCCAGAGTTGAACCAGCAACCTAAGGATGGCTGTGCAAGGGAGCCTACAGTCCTCCGCTCTACCAGCTGAGCTATCAAAGGAAGCACAGGGCCATGCCCACTACCTCACTCATCACACACTCATCCAACACTTTCCTCGCCACAGCACACCATCTTGCTTCTATTCTAACATCCTGCTTCAAACTTCAAGCAGCCCCAGCTCCAACATCACAACACCTTACTCAATCCCTTTTGCATGTCAAATCATGCAAACCGCAAACAGAAATGCTCCACAAGCTCCTTGGACATCATCTTCTGCAGCTGGACTCTCCTCACAGCCAAATAGAGCTTACCCATATCTGGCTGCAACTTCCCTCCATTCCCTTTCACTGTGCAGTCTTTTGCTCTCTGGTCAAGTACCATATGAAAGGAGAGTCATTGCTTTATTCCTACAAACTGGAAGGTCATGTGTAAGCCCTCCAAATCTCTCTTTCCCCAGGCTGAACATTCCCATTGTCCTTGACCCATCCACCTAGAGGAATCCCTCCATTCCTTGAAATTCTTGGTGGTCCTCTTCTGAAGTTGCTCCATTTCATTAATGTCTTTCCAGTACACAGGATCTCAAAACTGGACACATTGATTGAGATGACATTTTACATCTATCAAGGAAAGTGGGAGAAAATAAGGTTCCCTGTTAGATTGGCCATGCTGCTCTTAATGCAGAATTGGACGTTCTCCTACTCTTTGTATTGTGGGTAGGCTGCAAGCACTCAAGGCCCCAGGAGGACGTAGGACCCCTGGAAAAGGACCTTGTGTCTAGGCAATGGGACACATGAAAATGGAGCACTGGAGAATGCAGGCATCGATCTTGCTCCCTCTCGCATGCTAAGCAAGCACTCTACCACTTGAGCTAATTCCCCATCCCGTGGCTCTGCCTGAGGGTCCTCTCCCCTCCCAGATACCTACCCCTGATTCGGGATGCCCTGCACCCAAAGCCTGGGCCTTCCATCATCCTACTCTCATACCACCAACATTCCTACTATATGTGACCCCAAATAAACTCAGTGGTCAAGACCACAACTCCCTGACCAGAGTTCTCCCCCAAAATGTCTTGTCTGGTTGTCTTCACGACTAAAGATCAGAGCTCAGCACTGGACAGCTCTTGAAAAGAGGCCACTTTGGCCTCAGAAGTCAGTGGTGCTGCAGGACCTAGGCCAGAGTCAAAAGGACATTCCTTCAAGCTGGAATTGAACTAGCAATCTAAGGATGGCCTACAGTCCTCCACTCTACCAGCTGAGCTATTGAAGGAAGCACAGGGCCATGTCCACTACCTCACCCATCACACACTCATCCAGCACTTCCCCAGCCACAGCATGGCTTTAGGCACAGCGTCATGCCTCTATTACAACATCCTGCTTCAAACAGACTCAGCTCCAACATCACAACACCTTGCTCAATCCCTTTAGCCCATCAAATCATGCAAAACCTGCAAAAGGAAATGCTCCACAAGCTTCTTGGACATCATCTTCTACAGCTAGACTCTCCTCATGGCCAAAAAGATCTTACCCATATCCTGCTGCGATTTTCCTTTATTCCCTTTCACTGTGCTGTCTTTAGCTCTCCAGTCAAGAACCAGACAAATATACAGACACTCTTCTACTCGTGTATGCTGGAGGGTGATGAACAAGACCTCTGATTCTCTCTTTCTCCAAGCTGAACTTTCTCACTCTCCTCAGCCCATCCTCAAAGAGAAATCTCTCCATTCCTTGAGATACTTGGTGGCCCTCCACTGAAGTTGCTCCACTTCATTGGTGTCTTTTACAGTACTGGGGATGAAATTTGGAAAAGGCCGCAAGTTGCACCAGAGGAGGTTTAGATTAGGAAAAAATTTTCATGGAAACAGTTGTAAAGTATTGCAACAGTCTACCCAGGGAATTGGTGGAGTCACTGTCCCTGGAAGTGTTAAAAAACATGTCACTATGGCACTTGAAGACATGATTTAATGATGAATCAGGTGGTAGTGCTGGGTTGACGGTTGGACCTGATTATCTTAAAGGTCATTTTCAACCTTAGCTATTCTATGATTCTATGATCTGTCAAGCAAGGAGAGTGAAAGTCAGTTCCATTGCTGAACTGCTGTAGTGCTCTTGACACAGCCCTGGATGTCCTTGTCCTCTGTAAATCCAGGGCACACCATAAATCTCCCACATCTCACAGGGGACATGGGACCCCCACCAAAGGGCCCTGTGTCCAGGCAAGGGGAATGAAAAGCATTGGAGAATGTGGGCACCGATCCCACTGCCTCTCGCATGCTAAGCGAGCGCTCTACCACTTGAGCCAATTCCCCACCCTGCAGCTCTGCTTGAGGGCCTCTCCCCTCACAGGCACCCACCCTAATTCAGGATGGCCTGCACCCAAAGCCGGGGGCTCCCATTTGCATTGCTCTCACACCACCACCCCCCCCACTCACTTTCCTGCTGGAGGTGGCCATGAAAAACACGAGTGATCAGGACCACCATCGTCCAGCCCAGGGTTCAACCAAATCTGCTTGTCCAGTTGTATTCCCAAAGTGAGGCAAGAGCTCAAGGCTGGGCAGCCCTTTGAAAGAGAGCCACTGGGGTAGGGCCAAAAACACAGCAGTGCTGCAGGATCTGGGCCAGAGCCAAAAGGACATTCCTTCGAGCCGGAGTTGAACCAGCGACCTAAGGATGGCCGTGTGAGGGAGCCTACAGTCCTCCGCTCTACCAGCTGAGCTATCGAAGGAAG